TCTACTTTAGAAGATTAAGAGGGAGAGAAAGCAGGCATGGCTGGCTGGGGAATTCTGGGAGTTGAAGTCCAACAAGTCTTAAAAGTTGGAGACCTCTGACATTAAGGGGAGAGGGGAGAAAAAGAAACAAAATCAAAAGATGTTGGCAGAAGAACATAGATAGGAGCCTGGAATTAGAACGACAGAAACCACCAAACCAGAAGACTCTATTTATTTATTTTTATTTGTCAATCGCTTTCAAGATAATAGGTATAAGTATACACATAGCTATGAATACATGAAATGGGTACATATAAGAAAAATAAAAGAAGAATAAGAGAAACAATAGGACAGGGACGGTAGGCACATTGGTGCGCTTATGCGCTACAGACCCCTTAGGAAAGGGGTGAGGTCAATAGTAGACAGTCCAAGGTTAAAGTTTTTGGGGTTTGGGGAAGAAACCACAGAGTCAGGGAGAGTATTCCAGACATTTGACCACTCTGTTGCTGAAGTCGTATTTCCTGCAATCAAGTTTGGTGCGGTTAACCTTGAGTTTGTATCTATTGTTTGCTCTTGTATTATGATTAAAGCTGAATTATTCATTAACAGGTAGGACATTGCAATGTATGATTTTATATACTATACTTAGATCGGACCGAAGGCGGCGTAGTTCTAGGTTGTCTAGGTCTAGAATTTCGAGTCTGGTGGCATTAAAAAAAAATGGATCTAATAAAACATAAAATGAAACTACTAGATAAAGAAGAAGTTGGCACACATTTAAAAAAAAAAATCAACAATGCCGAAACGAAACAGCGCCGCCCCTTTCGGTTTCCTTTTCGAGTTTCGTTTCCTCCGCCCGCAGAAGCGCAGCGCTGGCAACTTTTGTTTTCCGGAGATGCTCCGCCCTGCCGGGCAGGGTCTAAAGCCGGGAGGACCGTATAAAAGGAGGCGGTCGGAACCGGCGAAGTCAGAGGCGGTTTTTTATTATTTGTGGCTGCGGACGGAGCGAGAGCTCGAAACACGGACGGCTGAAGATGGTAAGAAGCGGGGCGAAGCGACCGTGGGAAAGCGGGGCTTGCGCGCCTTTGCGGCGGCGCAGCCTGTGTGTGTATAGATATAGATATATAGATATGGGTATATAGATATAGATAGATACAGATTTAGAGATAGATTTATAGATAGATACAGATTTAGAGATAGATTTATAGATAGATACAGATTTATAGATAGATAGATAGATGGATAGATGGATGGATGGATGGATGGATGGATATCTCCCCCCCTCTCTTTCCTCCCCCCCTCGGGGTCCTCCTGGAGAAGGAGGCCGGGTGGGGATGCGGGGTGGGCGGGAAAGTCGCCTTCACAGCCCGGTTAAAGCGATCCTCTGTTGGGCGCTGAATATTAACCCGATCCTCCGTTGCGCTTCCCCAGGCGCTGACCCTGAGCGTGAAGCTGCTGACGGGCGAGGTCCACTCCGTGGTTTGCTCCCCCAACCAAACCGTCTGGGATTTCAAAACCCAACTGGGTCGCCAGACTGGGGTGTCCCCCTATCAGCAGAAGCTGGCTTCCTCCACGGGCGGCCACCTGGACCTGCAGGACGGAACCCCGCTCGCCACCTACGGGCTGCGCACCGGCGACACTCTCCTGCTGATGGTGAAGAACGAGGAGTCCATCCCGGTTCTGCTGAGGAACGCCAACAACCGAACCACCACTTACCACGTCCTGCCTTCCGACACGGTGGCGCGGTTCCGAGCCCAGATCTGCGCGCAGGAGCGAATCCAAGACGGCCAGTTTTGGCTGACTTATGGGAGCCAGACCTTGGAGGATGGGCGCACATTCTCCCATTACAACATTTGCCCCGGTGGCACCGTGACGCTGAATATACGTCTGAGGGGGGGGAAGAGGGTCTCCCCCGTAAACCACCTGGGTCACCTGGGATGAATTAGCTTGTCCCCCCTCCCGCCCTCCGTCCCAATTTCTGTTTTGTTAGCTTCCTTTGCAATCCTGTACCTTGAATCACGATTTTTCTCCCATCCTTGTTGTTAGAAGAGAAGGGGATTGTGTTATGTAACTCACCTGTAGCTCTGGGTTTACCTGGACAGGGCTGTGAAATGAGAGTTTTGACAAATAAAAACAAAATTTTTTTCCCCCAGTAAAGACAGTCGTTTGTTTCTATTTTTGTTTGGGCTCAGCGTTTTAGGTAATTCAACCTCGTTTCCCTTGGATTTGCCTCCATAATCATAGAACAACAGAGGTGGAAGGGACCTTGGAGGTCATCTAGTCCAACCCCCTGCTTGAGCAGGAGAGTCCATTCCAAAGATTAGCCTCTACCTAGGATTGAACTCGCAGCCTCCTGCTTACAAGACAAGAACTCCACCTCTGGAGTTCCCCCCTTGGGAAGTGACTTGATAGGGGTGTCATGTGACAGTATTTGAGGGGCTGCCACAGAGAGGGGGGGGTGTCAGCTTATTTTCCAAAGCACCAAGAAGGCAAGACAAGAAACAGTGAGGACAATTAACCAGAGGAACAGCTTGCCACCAGAAGTTGGGGGTTGTGGGCCTTCATTGGAGGTTGCCTACAGGGGTTTTGCATCACTGGAGGTTGGACTAGATGACCTCCAAGGTCCCTTCCAGCTCTACTCTAATTTGAAGTGGAAATGCAGGCAGAACTTGAGCTGGCTGGGGTTGACTTGGTAACGTTTCAGGCAGTCGTATCCAGGTCTGATTTTATCAACTTGGAGAGGTTTGGACTTCGATCCCAACCTTCCTTCTTGATAAAAAAAATTTTGTGGGGGTCATCATTGCCTGTCTCGTAAGTTTGATTTGTTTTGGGATATTTTTTTTTTTTAAAAATCATTTTTATTCAAAGCTTTACAAAGCTTAAAAGTTAACAAACAGAAAAGAAAGAAGAAAAAGCAAAAGTACAGAAAGAAAGAAGGAAAAAAAATAGAAGTCTCCAATCTTTTCATAAATGTAAATAGAAATGATAAAAGTTATCTCATGCTCCTCTATGATTATAAAAGAACGCACTTTTCCCATATTATCCAAAGTCCTAAATTTCCAGGCAGCCATAAATGAAGGTATTGTTTTGTCTCTAAGAAAAGAAATTAGCCTCTCCTAGATGGTGTCAAACTTCCATTTTTGAACATACAACAGTCTCTTTGTAGAGTTGTTTTGAAGAATCTTTCCCATGTTTTAGACCTGGGATTGAAAGGGTGGGTTAACAAACCATCATAAAAGGGGGGAGGATACCATTTTAATGATGTGCTGGTTTCCTGAAGAAGAACAGTGGGGGGGAGGGGGGGGTCTCCATTGCATCTGTTGGTTTTTTGTAGAAACTGCATTACCCAAACTAGGTGACATCAGTGCTAGATGAAAATGGGGATTTCCAGGAGGGAGAGGGGGGAGGAGGAGGACAGGTGGAGGGGGAGGACAGGTGGAGGGGGAGGACTGTGGGGTTTTGGTGCTCTCTGGACTTGTTTGTTTTTGTGCAGATGTTTCATTTTTTAAAAAAATAATTTTATTAATTATACTTTAAAATATTAGACACAGTGCGACTGTCCTGGCATCATCTTTGCCTTACGTACCAAAGTATAAAATACATGTTCTTACATACATTTATACACTTAGCCTATCCAGTATATACATTTACAAAGCAAGGTAACATCTTCTGCACTGCTAATTTAATACCTTTTGTCTTGTCCATTATATTCAGTTGTAATTACATACGTAACCTCAACTGTCTGTTTTTACAAATCCTAGTTCATTTTTTTATTCCTCAGTCCCTCCTTTCCATTCCCACCATTGATATAATTTATTCCATATGATATTCTGTCTCGCCTGTATTTTTAAATTCCAACGTCAGTCTATCCCATTTCTGCACAAATCCGTATTTTCTTGGTCACTTCGCCTTCTAAGGGGATTTCTCTATTTTTCCATTGCTGAGCGAAAAAAAACCATTCTTGCTGCCGAATCCTAGTAAAAAATAGTCCTGGTTTCTTTTTCTATTTTTGTACAGATGTTTCAATGACATCGTGAGTGCTAGGGGGGGAAATGGGGGGTTTCCAGGAGGAGGGGAAGGACTGTGGGGGCCTTGGTTTTCTCTTAGCTTGCTTCTTCTTGTTGTTTTATAGACATTTCATTACCCAACACTAGGTGACATCATCACATCACTATCCTGATGATGTTACCTAGCTGGAGTGATTGTCTGCGGGAAAACAACCAAGCTTAGAGACCACCGAAGTCTCAGGGCTCCAACAAATCCACCCTCATTCAAAGCAAAAGTCTCTAGACGCATCTCAGAAAAAGTAAATTGGTTTATTAGAGATTGCCATGTTGGTGTGTGCCTGGTTGCAGCCGGTACTAAATCACACCATACATTTCCCCCTTGACCCTGGTCTTTTCCCCACCCCCGCTGGATGTGACTTCTCCAATGGGACACATCCGTCTCCAAGAGTCATCCATCATGCTCTCCAATAACCTTCTTATATGCTCCGACAACTTTGGGCTGCTGAGTTGGTTATCTAGGCATTTCAAGAATGCCTTGTTTTTCCCCCACTCCATTTTTCTGGCAGCTAAAAAGACCAAAGGGGTCTCTTTTTAGTTGACATGAAGATCGTGTCGGGATTGTGTCAGCCGAGTACTGGACAAGAAGAGGTGGTGCAGTGGTGGGATTCAAATATTTTTACTACCGGTTCTGTA